ACCTCCATCGCCGAGTCGACGGCCAACACAGGGAAGCACCTCTGGCATCGCCGAGGTTCCGGGGCCTCTGCCGACAGCAGGAAAAATTGGCGCACGCCGTAGGCCCAGCCGCATTTGGCCGCCCACGCCGGCTTATCTGTGGCCGTCTCGTCCACGCCGGGGAGGTGAATCACTGACCCTCGTCTTGGCGTTCATGATAAAGCGGGTGGCTTCATCGCCGACCGTTGCTGCCGGGCGGAGGGGACCCTGAACGAAGTCCACCGCTGGCAGATCATCCAATCTCCCGGCTGGCTGCCCTGCCGGTGGCGTCGAGGCTTCCTCTTCGGTGTGGTCGCCGTCAGTTGTTGGCCGCCGCGGGTGCAGGCTCAGCGCCCTGTCCCGCCGTCGGCTGCAGCGGCCGGCGCCAGGGCCTGCGCCGGTATGGCCGCCGCGGCGCAGGTCAGTGGGGCTGCCTGTGTGTAGCGTTCCACCGCCGCAGGAGTTGGATGATGGCGACGGCCACGCCGCGGGCCGCCAAGAACGTGGCCCCGGACACCCTGGCCGCGTGTCCGCCGAAGATGGGCACCCGGTCTCCGTCGGGCGTGGTCATGTGTGTTTCCACGCCGCAGGCCCCAACACAGCGACGCCGCCTTGGTCCGAGCCTCTGTGGTGGAGGTCGGGAACAGCGCCGCTGTGGGCTCCTTCTGCCCATCGGCGTGAAGCCTGGCAAGGTGGCGTCGGGCGGCGCACGCCGGGCATAGAGGGTGCACCGCCGCCGTGCAGACACAGCGTAGGGAGCGGCGGGTCAGCTCCGCCTCGCCTCCTTGCGCCGTCTTGTGCAGAGGTATGTCCAGAGTGATGCCGCCGCCGAAGGTCGCCGAGGACAGAGTGAGGTCCTGGACTCGGGCGCCGGCGATCTCTATCTCACGGAGCATAAACCAGCAGGCTATATGATGACGACGTCGACGGCGTGGTGCGGCCGCCGGCAGTCCAAGGGTCCGTCCGCGGGGCCGAATCGCACCAGCACCGCGATGACGCCGAGGTCGAATGCTTGAGCTTGGCGCCGGGAATGCCCCTGGTCGCCGCTCTGGCCAAACGTCTTGGACGCCAAAACCTCACGCTGGAGCACGTGCTCGTGGTGGTAGAGGGCCGCGTCGATGTAGAGCTGGGCCGACTTGTAGCCGCCGTCCTTGAGGCACGCCGCCAGGGCCGCCAGGATCTGGATCTTCCTGTGTGTCATCGGCCACGGCTCCACGCCGTGCCTCGCCGCCAATTTTGTCCAAAGCTGATCCCGGAGTCCACGGACCGCCGGGTGGTAGAGGCAAGGACCGCCCCCTCCAGTGCGTCGATGGCTTGCTGAGTGTTTTTCGGGTTCAAGGTAGGTCGGCCCTTCTCGGCACCAGCGCCGCGCTGCTCTGGCGGGATGGTCCCGGCACCGAGGGCCACGATGATTTGTTGGGGCACGCCGGCCTTCAGTAGGGCTGGCCCCGCGGGCCCGACCGCCGAGCGCGAGGTGACCCCTAAGGCTGCGAAGGTTGTCATGCAAGCCCCGCCGCCTGCTGCAGACACTTCGGCCAGGAACGCCGCGAAGGTGCCCGGCTGAGGTTCCGATGCCGGCGCCGCTGCCATTGAGCCAGGGTAAGAAGGGGAAACAGCGCCGGGCTGGCGTCTGACTTCGGGCCAAAAGGGGCTGCGGGTTAGGGTCGGGTGCCGGGGCAAAAGGAAGCAGCGAAGCACGCCGCTCACACAGGTGAAGTCACTCTTTTTGGCGCCGGGGCGCAGCTCATATCGAGGTGCAAGCGTCGGCTTACACCGAGCGCCGCGGAACATGCAGAAAAGGACTCTGATCGAGCAAAAACCACGCCGAGCGTGACCATCGGGAAGGCGTCGTCGCCGACCAAAGCCAGCGTCGAAGAAGGCCCAGCCGTGGGGCGCCTCAGCGCCGCCCCCTGCCGCTGAGGCCTTCGCACTGCGGGCACTTGCGGCTGCCCGACGCGCCGTGTGAGCCCTGGGCGCCGAGGGCCACCGGGCGGAGGCATCTTCCCTCTCCGCCCCAGACCGCTTCGCGGCTGTGGCGCAGGGTGATCCTGGCGCCGACCATGCCCGGAGGCAGTCGCCGCAAGAACGGGTAGTCCGTCTCGGGCCTGTCCTCGCCGCGGCATGGCGTCGGTGGGCGGGGCACCGCGCCGTTATCCTCAATCTCCCGCAGCTCCTGGAGGGTGGAGTATAGGCGAAGCGCCGCAGGTTGGCCGGGACCGGGGTCTCCTCGGCTGACGCGCCGCGGCCCTTTCCATGTGCCGCTTGTACTCGAAGTACTCCGGCGAGATCTCCGCGGCCTCGCCAGCTTCCTCCGCCGTCCACGGCATGGCCGCCCCAGCATCGAGGATCATACGCCTCGAACTGGCGTCGCTCATGGGCTGAGGCCTCCCTGCGCCGCCTGTCGGCTCGCATCGCCGCGGTTGGCACTGAGGCTCGCCGCTGGCTTGCATTCGCCGGGCGTTGGCCAATCGGGGGAAAGCTGGTAAACTGCGCCGCGGCCCTGATCCTGGCTAGAGCCTCGTCGTCAAGTGGCTCTTCCCACGGCTCCAAAAACGGAGGTGGCGCCGCCTTTGCGGGGGCCTTGCCTTGAGCGGTGGCCTCTCCGCGCCGCGGCTGCTTGACCAGGGGTGGCACGGTCGCCGCCTCCTCTCTGAGCAGTGCCGGCGCCGCGGCTGCGGTGGCGCCGCCGCTGGCACTGTGACAGACGCCGCAATGCCGAGGTCGGGGGTGAATGTGGCCACCGCATATTGGGATCCACCGTCAGCGCCGTGGGCGGGATGGTGGTCGCTGGTGGTCCCTTGTGCTTTGGCTGCGCCGTCGGCATGGTGGCCCCCGATGCCAACGCCGATTCTGCATCGCCGCCAAGCCCGTGATAAGAAGGGCTGCCGCGGCTCTGACGACGCCGCTTCGGAGCCAGAGGCGGCCTCCTGTACCTTGAGCGCCGCGAAGATGGCCTTTGGGTGCGGGGGTGCCCGCCGCACCGAACCGGCTGGGTCGCCGTGCCCGAGGCTGGCATAGAGGTAAGCATCGCGACCTCCCAAGGGTCCGCGCGCGCCGCCAGCAGCAAGTTGGCCTTGGCCTTGGTGGCTGCGCCGATGAAGAAATCGGCGCCCACTGGTGAGGATGCCCTGGACGCCGCAGTCGGTGTAGGCATGGGTGGTGGCGCCAAAAGCTCAGGAGGCGTCGCCTTGACTGGGGGTGCCACTCGGGTCCCCGCCGCAGATGGCGTCGGTGGTGTAGGCGCAATCGGTGTTGGCGCCGCGGCTTTGGGCGAGGCCACCGCCGAGGCAGCACCTCCTGCTGATCCCGCCGCCACCAATGGTGCTCCCAGGACCACATCGTCGTCGGACTCCTCGCCGACCTCGGGGATGTTCTCCAGAGTCCCAACGCCTCTTGTCCCAGCCGCCGTGCCCTCGAGCAAGAGGTTCGCCGCCTGAGCGGCGTCGTTGAGGTCGGCAATCGCATCCGCCGTGAGCTCCCCCACCACGGGAGCCCACCCCATGCGCCGAGCGGCGCCCAAAGCAGCTGTGAGGTCTGCCGCAATGGTGATGGGGTCGGAGGATGCCATGACCGCCGAAGGCACGATAGAAAGGCTAAGAGAAAGGCTGAAGCGCCGAGCTCGAACCAGAGTGCTGAAGGCAGCTACGCCGTTGCGATTGTTACTTCGCACAC